TGCCAGCTGGGCTCAATCACATTTTTTAAAGACCTGAATTTCTGAATCAACAATCAATGTTTATGAAACTTTCTAGTTTGCTCATATTTTCATTGTGGTCTTTAATACATTTATAAACAAGTTTCCTTGTTTGTCCCCAAGGACAAAAGTGTTTTATACAGGATTATACCTCCTTCATTTCTGTACTCCTAACACCTAACAGAGTGCCTGCTACAAAAACTGTGTTGGATAAATTAACCTATATTGCCTATTAGTGAATAAAGTTATGGTAACTTTTCTATTACTAACAATTTTTTAAAAATGCTATGCTTAACTGTGTAAAAGGACTTAACATATTTTCCAAGAAAAACAGAAACCATGCTGAAACTCCTTTTTTATATTTATAAACCCACTTTCTTCTGGTCAGTCTTTGTCAGTTAGCCTTGAAACTTAAAGTATTGGAAAGTTGCCAGCCTTCTCCCCTTCTAGTACTGCCAATTTGTTTTTTCCTCAAAAATTCATCACATCTTATCCACTGCTCCAGTTCAGCATATAAAGGCACATACTTGAAAGTAACTCAATACCCAAATATACTAAAATTATCATCGTTAGGCTAATTAAACTAAAAGATGAAGTTGAGGTTTTCATGTTTTTCTTAATAGAGGGGGAAAGTGGGAAAAGATGTAAAAGGCTGGCAGGAAACAAATTCAATTTGCTGATTAAAGACAACATTCAAATAAACAAATGCAAAAAAAGTGTTGTTGTTATTTAATCTGCTGGTCTTGCCACAGCACCGGTTAAAAGCAAGGTCTTGGATTTTAAATAGTGATGTCTAATATTCAATTGTACATCATTTTTATAGCCCACACTCCCGCCCCTGGCCTCAAATTTAAGTCAAGTCCATTTCAAACACAAATTCCTTGGGTGAGGACTTTAAAAATATAAAATTGGAAACCAAGGAACAATCACCATCTGTCAGACTTGATGCATGTAGTACAAAGCAGGGACATGGATGTGAGTCGGGAAGGTCATCCACAAATAGACCAAACCCCATGGAAATCAGAACCAGAGAGGAAGACATGTATGGCATGTGGATTGAGCCAACTGTTTGTCTCTCAGATGACAGACACTTGAATGAACACCTAGATTACATGGAAGTGAAAGAAACATCAAGAAAAATGTTCTAAGACTGTAACCTTAAAAATGAAGTATAGGTGGAACATAATGTTTGGTAGAGAGCTTTGGAGCCTCCACCATTCATTTATGTAGGATGAAGGTGACACTGTCTTTGTGGGGCTCCGGAAGGAGGAGTTGGCTCCTCCCACAGGACCTGCTGAGTCCAATTGGGGGTACAGATGGATCAGACATTTATTCAGTCTTTTTCAGTTAGATTTCTTCATTTTTATTAGATGATTTCAATCCTGTTTTTTGGGGTTTTTTTTTTTTTTTTTTGCTTGTCTACAGATATGTGCAAAAAAATAAGACTAGACCACCTTCTTACAGCATACACAAGAATAAACTCAACATGGATTAAAGACTTCATAGTAAGACTCAAAACCATAAAAATACTAGAAGAAAACATAGGCAGTAAAATCTCGGACAATTCTCATAGCAATATTTTTTCTGATATAGCTCCTCAGGCAAGGGAAACAAAAGGAAAAATAAATAAATGGGACTACATCAAACCAAAAAGTTTTGCACGGTGAAGGAAACCATCAATAAAATGAAAAGGGCACCCCACTGAATGGGAGAACATATTCTCCAACAATACATCTATCTGATAAGGGGTTAGTATCTAAAGCTTATAAAGAACTTTTACAACTCAACACCAAAACAAACAATCCAATTAAAAACTGGGCAAAGGATTTGAATAGACACTTCTCCAAAGAAGATATACACATGGCCAATAGATATATGAAAAGATGTTCAACAGCACTAATCATCGGAGAAACTAATTAAAACCACAATGAGATATCACCTCACACCTGTCATAATGGCTATCATCAATAAATCAACAAACAAGTGTTGGTGAGGATGTGGAGAAAAGGGAACTCTAGTGCACTGTTAATGGGAATGAAGATTGGTTCAACCACTATGGAAAACAGTATGGAGTGTCCTCAAAAAATTAGAAATGGAATTGCCTTATAACCCAGCAATTCCACTTCTGGGAATATAGCTGAAGAAACCCAAAACATTAATTCAAAAGAATATATGCACCCCTATGTTGACTGCAGCATTATTTACAATAGCCAAGATATGGAAACAACTCAAGTGCCCATCAATAGACAAGTGGATCAATCTATTTTATTTTAATCAATAACTCACTCTGTACTCCAGAACCATGCCAGAGAATATGACCCCATATATAATAGTACTTTTAACTCTTATCAAAATCAAAGGTACAAAAAGCAACATTCCCAAAAGATGAGAGCCTAAAATATATGTAATTCACCTAGATTTTAACCCTAGACCAGTGATGGTGAACCTATGACACGTGTGTCAGAGGTGACACGCGAACTCATTTTTTTTGGTTGATTTTTCTTTGTTAAATGACATTTAAATATATAAAATAAATATCAAAAACATAAGTCTTTGTTTTACTATGGTTGCAAATATCAAAAAATTTCTATATGTGACACGGCACCAGAGTTAAGTTAGGGTTTTTCAAAATGCTGACACTGAGCTCAAAAGGTTCGCCATCACTGCCCTAGACCAAGCCAAAACATCATTCATTAAGATGAAATAAAAAATTGAACACTGTTTTGGATATTTTTTCAACAGGCTCCTCTATTCCTATAAAAGTGCTCTTACTAAATTAAACTTTGTTGTGATGTCCTCTGCTTACTCACTACTGATTTTATGGGCGACATATATTGAGGACCTTGCCTCTCACACCTCACTCAGCTAGCCCTTCATAAGCTCCATGAGAAAAGCTATCCTCAGACCTTCAGTGCGAGAGCTGTGCCTCTCCTAAAATGACACATTCTTATTTTATAGACCAGGCAAGTCTCATGAGTACCTGCCAATGTTAGAAAATTTTATTAAATTGATCTTATTAATGTTTCATTTTTATTTTAGATTTTAAAAATCTCTTCTGACATGAATTTAAAATAACACCATGAAAGACCCACCGTTACAGTGGAATGCTTTAAGGTAAAGATACAGGGTGGGGCAAATGTAGATTTACCGTTGTTCAAATGGAAAATAATATAACGCAAGAATAAACTCTGTGTTAACTCTGTGTTTTGTGTAGTCACAAATGTACTGGTAAACCTACTTTTGCCCCACGTGTGTGTGTGTGTGTGTGTGTGTGTGTGTGTGTGTATATATATATATATATATACTTTCTCTATTTTCAGGGAGATGAAACCAAGGCTTCTGTGGTTTTCTATCTTCTTAAAAGGATCAGGTTTCCTAGAAGGTTCCAAGGGGGCTAACAAGGAAGCATAGGGGCCTTAGTAACAGGATCACCTAGTTTTACTGTGTCACATCAGCTTATCTTTTATAGGTGTAACCTATCAGTTGGCTGCCCTTGACCAACTTAGGTCCTCAGTCTTTTTTTTTTTCCAATTACATTTGACATTGAAAATTATTTTATATTAGTTTCAGGTGTATAGCATAGAGGTTAGACATTTTTATAATTTGTGAAGTGATCCTCCCAATAAGCCTAGTACGCACCTGGCACCACACCCAGTCTTCTTAATTAATGATGCCTGGCCTGAAACAGTCTAACATCACCATGTGCCTGCTTTTGTCTGGCACCCATCTCTGTCCTGTGTCATCTTCCTCCAAACTGCACCACCAACCACACCAGCTGCCTCTACCCTCATCAATCTGGCAAACAAAGAAATGAGCTAAAAAGAAAGCAAGGCTTACAAATCTATGAGGGGGAAAAATCCCAAAACTCAGTTTGGTTATTTAACAAGATACATTCTAAAAATCCAAGTTGAACCGTGTTTGAATTCATGCATTATATTTAGGACATAAAATACAAGTAACATATTTTCAGATACATTGACTTCATTAGGAGTTAATATTCTAGTAAATATGTTCTTTTCTCTGGTTATTTAACTTTAGAAAAATCTATCCTGAAATAAACAATTTAAATATTATCTGTAAAAAAGCTGTTATTCTCAAGCCACACAGTACATATATGCACTTGCCATCATTGTATAGGTATAAGGAAAATAAATTGTAATATAAACTCGAGACATTAATAGAAAAATAAATATGCTTTCAAAAACAACTCTCTACTGAACTGAATTATTTAAGAACTGTTATTTCAGATTATCGAAGCTTCTGCATAGAAATGGTCATTCAAGAGTGACTTCCTGCCCTAACCAGTTTGGCTCAGTGGATAGAGCATCAGCCTGTGAACTGAAGGGTCCCAGGTTCGATTCCTGTCAAGGGCATGCACCTTGGTTGCTGGCTCAATTCCCCAGTAGCGGGCGTGCAGGATGCAGCTGATCAATGTTTCTCTCTCATCGATGTTTCTAACTCTCTATCCCTCTCCCTTCCTCTCTGTAAAAATCAATAAAAATATTTTTTTAAAGAGTTACTTCCTAACTCATTCTATGAGACCAGCATTATCCCGATACCAAAGCCAGACAAAGATACTACAAGAAAAAAAACAAAAACCCACTACAGACCAATATCTCTTATGGATAATGATGTAAAATCCTCAACAAAATACCAGCAAAGAAAATTCAATAACATATTAAAAGAATACACCATGACCAAGTGGGATTTATTCCTGTATTGGAAGGATGGTTCAACATATGAAAATGTAATTCACCACATTAGCAAAATGAAAAAAAAACCATATGATCTCAATCTATATAGAAAAAGCATGTGACAAAATTTAATGCCCTTTCATGCATAAAACACTCAACAAATTAGGATTAGAAGGAAACTATATCAACATAAGAGTTTCTGTGCTCATAAATACAATACCATGTTTAGATTAATAACTCACATCAAGGAAACTAGACTCATTAAAAATTCCCATAAGGAGTACTTACCTGCCAAAATTTTCTTGAACTGTCGAAACCATATGTTGCAGTGGTCTTCACTTAAATTAATGAGATCGAGTGTAGAATCCTTTAATTTATTTTGTTCCTTTTTCAAACAGATGAAGAGTGTGATACCCAATAAAGTGCCATGTCCACTAGCAAAATACCGCCGTTTCAGTTTGACAGAGAATATGTCCTTGAGTTCAATAAGTTCTTCTTTACATAGCAAGTCATACTTGGAATCACCTGAAAAGAAATTAAGTTTTCCAATCAAAACCACTGTGTCCATATCTCCCTTGTACAAATCATAGTAAAAACCCAGAAAATCTTTCTCATTAGTAATCTTTCTGATTGTCCTTTATGTCAATCTGCATATAAGACAGGGAGGAAAGACAAGAAAAATTGGGTCTGTTTTCTCAAGAATTAAAAATAGAAAAATTGAAGACAGTCTCTGCCACTCAAGGCCCAGGACATTCAAAACCTGAGGATAAGAACATAAAGCAGCATTTCGGCAATAAAAATGAGTTTCCCACAGGAGGCTCTGAGCTGCTAATATGGGCAGAGTAAAGTAGTGGAAAGAACAGACTGCACTAACAGGACTGGGTTTATGACAGGTTGCTGAAGGCAGCATTTAAAGGAAAGAAAATGTGCATTCTAGGTAAAGTAACACATGTACAAAAGAAGGCAGAGTAAGATTGTCATGATTAGAAAGTATGAATCCCTGCTGATCTAGAAAGAAGGCTCCACTGGAATGTTACCCCAATCAGACTTCATTTTATAGAGGCTCGAAATTTTATTGTTTAACCACAGATCAGAAAGTAATTATTGTAGTAAAGGACCCTTCCAATTGACTCTCAAAGTAGGAGTGTCCTTTTACTTCTGCAAAAGTACTTCTAAAACTTCTACTCTGGCCAACATTGGAATTGCAGACACTGATTTTACCTTCCGTCTGAAACAACTTAAAAAACATACAAGATAGCTGAAGCTTCCGTTTTCAGATGTCATACGAGAGGTGGCGCAGGACAGTGATTGCTGAGAAAAGGGCAGCAAAGGAGCCGTATGATTGCCCCAGCTGACTCCTTGCGAGGTTTCTAGGCCACAGGAGGGCACCCATGGGAGAGCTTGTTGAATCTCTCCTGGGCTGACAAGTTCGGAGTCTAGGAAAGCCAAGACAACCACAGTTCACTGGGCACATTACTGGAGAGGAGCGGGCTGCACAGAGAGAGAACTCTGGATCTGCAGAGGTGCCCCTTGAATCTCAGCTGAGCATGGATCAGCATATGTGTGAGGCCAGGGGAAGGACCGCCCAAAGGATTAAAGGGAACAATGCTCAGAGATCCCACCGGTGAAGAAATATTGAAATTCGCAGGACATTAGGGAGAGTACTTCGAAGAGTTCTGTCTCATCAGTGAGCTGACTAATGCCTGCATTCATTCCACCCAACAAATCTAAAAAGCAGGTCTCAAAAGGAATGAACTGTTTCCAAGTAACTTAACTATATTCTAGAGCAAACCTCAAGAATATTTTTAGGAATACCAAAACAATCAGTAAGTCTACATGGTAAATTTCATAATATCTCCCTGTCAATCAAAAATTACTGTGAATGTAAATAAACAGAAAAATACGACACACGATAGGAGAAAAAGTAATCAATAGAAACCAATGCAGAAATGACAACAGTGCTGAAACAGCCCCAGAAAGCAGAGACCTTGCTCAGCTTCCTTAGCCCTTAAGCAGGCTCAACAATATTCTTAGACTGGAGTATTTTTATTTATTAAAAGAGTTTCCTCCACACATGCATTTTCATACTTCTATTTGGATGCTTCCTGTCTAATTTGTAGGAGCCCTTCAGATATTCTTGAAATCAATACTACATATGTCTGATATATGTTACAAATAACTTCTCCTAGGCTACTCTTATATTAGTTATGACCTTGTATCTCAGATAAATTTAACTTTTATGTAGTCAAACATATAACAAATAAGAGCTTCAAGGAAAGAAGGAAGGACATATAGAAAGAAAAAGAAGGAAAGAAAGAAGGGAGGGAAGGAAGGACACGGAGAGGGAACAAAGAACCATTGGAAAAGGGAAAACATGGAAGAGAGAAATTCTTTTCATTTGAAGTCCTTTATTATAGTCTGAATTTTTTACAATGTGTGCTTTACTTTAATAACAAATAAGTCACTGACTATTCCAATTTAAAACCTCTTATAAATTGCCGATTTAAAGATACTAAATCAACAGCTAAGATCAAACTTAGTAGTGAAAACAAGAATTCCTGGAAATAGGGCAAGAATACCTATTATGACTCTCATTATTCCCAATTATTCTGGACATTCTGCCCAATACCATATGTAAGAAAAATGAAATAAAAGATGACCATTGGTGGTTGGAGGGGCACAGAGGGAGTACATGCCTAACAGATATATTATCCATAACTATTTATAGATGATATCATAATATATTTGTAAAACCCAAAAAGAATCAACTTAAAATCACTGGAACTTAAAAGAACACCAGTAAGGAAGCTGTTTACAAATATATTAATGCCCAGGAAGAAGGCATAATGGAGATAAAGATATTCCAAAAATTAGCATATTATACTTAGGAATAAGTTTAACAAAATAATCCTGGACTAACGTGGTAGGGGAGAGCATTTAAAATGTACTGAGAGACAAAGAATTGAATAAAGGGGGACATACCAAGTTTCCAAGATTACATATTTTTCATGACAGTATTCTCATAACTACTTCTAATGCAATCCCACTCACAACCTCATTAGTATTTTCTTTGACATAAGGGGCAAGGAACCTACTTAAATGATTATAAATTTTATGAAATAAATATATTACATTACTGAAGAAATGTTTTAAAGTACGATCCTGCAGGATCGGGCCTAACCCAGCAGTCAGACATCCCCCGAGGGGTTCCGGACTGGAGAGGGTGCAGGCCGGGCTGAGGGACCCACCACCCCACCCCCATGCACAAATTTCATGCACTGGGCCTCTAGTACTTTATAAAGCTATAATAATGAAAACATTTGGATTATATAAGTGACTGGTCTAATGAAACAACACTCATATACATTTTAAATGTCACTAATGGGACAATAATGGCATCTCAGTTCAGTTGGAAATATTGAGTAAATGGTGATTTAGAACTAGTTAATCTTTTTAAAAAGAAAAGAAAAAACAGATCCCTACATCTTAATATACACCAATATATCTAGATTAGATAAAACTATGTATAACCATAAATTAGTAAAGCCCTAAGCATGACAGTGTAGGCAGATATACAGAGACTGAAATATTTAACATAAAAGTTATTATTGCCTATAAAGTCCTAGAGACCCATAAATAGAAATCACAAGCAAAGGCGGCCAACTGGGCAGAAATATGTGCAACATATGACAGTTAAATAATCTATTTAATCAAGGAAAGAAACACTTTGGTGGGAAAGTACATAAAAGACCCAAGACAGGCATTTCACAAAAGAAGAAATGCAAATTGACCAATGAACATATGAGAAAGTTCAATCTAATTAGTAATCAAAGAAATGCAAATCAACACAACAAGATACCATTTTTTGCCTTTTAGATTGGCACAAGATCAAAAATAATGCTCAATGATGGTTTGGGTACCAGTGCTGGTGGGAATGCAAAAATGGTAACTGCTGGAGAACAAGTTGGAAATAGGTATCAAAAGATTTCAAAATGTTAATTGCAGCAGTATTTATAATAGCAAACGACTTGAAGCAATATTCACGTTCTTCAATAGGAAGATGGTTGAATTAGTCTTCCACAACTCATAAATGAGCAAATTAGATCTGTGTTCTGATATGGAAAGGTATTCGTGTTAAGAGATATAAATTAGTGGAATAAAAGCAGTTATAAAGAAACCTGAGGGATTTGACCTCACTTCCATTAAAAGTAGAGAAGAAATAAATCCAGTGGAAAACACACAACAAACTTAACATTGGTTACCTATTAAAAGAAATGCTGTAGAGAGTATGAAATTAATATTTTCTTATAAACCTCCATAATTTTCCCTTTCTGTAATCAACATTATATTTTACTAGAGGCCTGGTGCACGAAATTTGTGCAAGGGGCTCGGCCCTCGCAGCCCCAGCTGCCTCAGCCCTCACAGCCCGGGCTGCCACCTTTGCCCTCGCAGCAGTCCCAGCTGCCAGTTGGCCCTGTGGCTCCACCCCCCACCGCCCCCCATCCACTGGTTGTTCCGGAAGGTCATTCCAGAAGGTCGTCTAATTAGCATATTAGCTCTTTATTATATAGGATACTTTTTACAAATGTAGAAAAAGGAAAACGCTTTAACATAGGCATCTTTTTGATCCAGTGATTTACTGCCAGTAATTTACTCTAAGAAAATAAATAATGTGCACAATTTAGCTAAAAGAATGCTACCCCAAGCATTATATGAGTGAAACTTGGAAAAAACCTAAATGTGCAATAACACTGTGTTGAATCTGTAAAATAAATATATTCATATAACAGAATGCTATTCAGCCATTAAAATTTAGAAACCTGACTAGAAAATTATCTAAAATAGTATAGTACAATTCCATTACTGTTTTGGTTATATTTATTGAATACATAATGTATGTGTAATGTATTTTCATATGCACATATATATGAATGTGCATATGAAAAATTGGAAGGATAGTGAGATTGTGATATAGTTTGTGTATATGAATTTAAAATTTTTCTACAAAAATATTTCTGCCATTAATTGAAAGATTATTTCCTTTGCTCATCCTAAAATAGTTCCTGATCATATTACTTATTCTAATTTTTAAAAGTCCATTCCCTAAAAAGAGGAGCTAATATTTAATGAGAATATGCTACATGCCAGACATTGCCCTAAGAATTTTATGTGTATTATCTCGTTTAATCCTAACAACAACCCTATGTAGTAGACGCAATTTCCTAAAAGAGAAGAAATTCAGGACAGAGTTTAAGTAACTTTCCCATGGTCTTACATCTAGTAGGAGGCAGATCCAAGATTTAAATCCAAGCACTTTGGCTGGTCTTCACAACTCCTTACCAATGTTGAACGGGAAGTAAGGACCTTCAAGTAAATATACACACTCTCATCAGACCCTCTGGCTCTGACTGAAATAGTCAAAATTAAAATATTTGGGGAAACCAAGATGGCGGCATAGGTTAACGCTGGAGTTTGCTGCCTCGAACAACCACTTCAAAAATACAACTAAAAGACGGAACGGACAT